CGGAAACAACAATGCATACAGCTTAAACAGGTAAACAGCCGGTCGGGTCGGATGCTTTTCTTTCCAGCCAACCGAGGAGTAATGCCCCTTTTTTTGACACTTACAGAGGTGACTCACAGCGCACTCCCTCGATGCTGACGGCTGTTACCCAGGTGGATGCAGGTGGTAGCGGACGGCATCTGCGCACCTTCCGCCAGCAGAGCTACTACCGCAGTTCAAGCAATGGCACTACCGGCGGACCATTCAAGGAGCAGGTGGGCTTGCTGCAGGTCGGTAGCTCCTCAGGGTGCGCTGCCACGCCTCAGATGATGAGGAAGAGCTCAACCGTCCGCAGCCCACATCCCAATCACAGCTCGGCGATTGCTGGCCGCCACTCGGGCTGTCTGCGCGAACAGGAGCAGCTGCTGCTGCAGTCGACGCCGTCCACGCTGGTGCTCAACTACGATAGTCAGCGCGGCGGCGTAGGCGTGGGCGTGGCCAATGGACACAAGCTGCTGACGGGTGTCAGCCACCTGACGGACAACAACGAACGGGTGTCGAGTGTGTGAGCAGAGCTAGCGGCGATGGTGACGGTCGAGGCAGAGGTGGGTGCGACAATGCGCGCGGTGGAGGATGCTTGCTCCTGCTGCCGTTGCCTGAGCCAGGAACTAGTGCGGCGCCAACAGGAACTCTTAGAGTCAACCGGCTCGCCCGCACAATAAACCAGTCTAAGATGCTGTGAAATGTACAGTTAAAACGATGCGACCACCTGGCGTGATACGCGACTCTTCCAGTACTCGAGAGGTTGTTCAAGATTGCGTTGCCAGCGGGGTGAAGCGGAACGGAGCATGACGTTGTCGATGATCAGATCATCGAGCCGTGCAACATTTGATTAGTTAAACTAACTGAGAGCTAAGTCTTTGAACACTGTTCGTGTGCGTAGTCGTAACCGTAGGCTTACTTGAATAGCGAGTGTAGGACATAAGAGTGTGGCTGACAACTAACTAATGGCGAGACCAGAGATTCGTGCCGGTCCATAACTATATATATGCATATTCAATTATATATGTATTTGTGTGTGAGTGACTGAGTGAGAGAGAGTGAGTGAGTGAGTGTGTGCGCGTCTCTGTTTGTAAAAGGGAGAGTCTAAATGTAAATTTGATGATATTTTAATCGCCTCAAAGCTCAGCTGTGCGAGTATTCATTTCGAATGCGGGGAAAATACACGTTTTATGCGATGCCAATTTATGTATATGCAGTTATAATTAGTGACATCGCTATATAAATATATATATATATTGTTAGCAATTCGTTTTTTTAATTGTGTTTGAGTTCCAGTTCTTGACCAGGCCCATGTGTTAATTCTCTGTG